TTGATACGTAAATAAGTTGACAGTCACCTGAATTCAAATTCTAGGTTGATATATTTTATTCAACAATTTCTTAACTATTTAATGTCGTCTGAATAATATAATTCATAATAATATACGAATAATAATATAATAAGGCTCTACTATTTGATAATAGGTATAGTTTATAATTGAGCTACTATTTGATAATAGAGCCCTTGCTTTCCGATCATTTCATTATGTTTCAAATAAGGTAATTAAGGTAAAGGTGAAGGTGAAAAATTATATTGCCAAGAGGAAAATTTTTTTTAATAAAATATCGGTTATGGTTTGAATGGCTGTTAGGGCTGGATTGAATACAAATCGTAAATAATCTCTTTAAATAGTATTCTGTTATGACTGGAAAACGATGACATTCCAGTTTTACCCTTTATCTTTTATTTCGTATTCTACTGCACTTCACTTCACTTCATACAAACGGGCATCGAGAAAGTTTTTAACTCTATTGTAATGACTACGATCGATAAGATATTTGATATCTACAAATATCTCTAATATAATTTCCACTAAATCGTGCTATGTAAGATTATGCAGGTAATCAGGAAACGAAGCTGAGAAAGCTTTGTGAACCAATAAAAACTATCGAGCATAAGTACATATAACGTTATTTTAAAGAAATAATTAACGTAGTTCATAGTTCATTTAATTCCCTTCAAGAACCTGGTGCATTTGTCATACAAAATTGCGTGCACACAAACACGCCTTGGCCATAGGTTCTCTTATTTATGTGATCTACACAACCAGTTATCAAGTCCTGTTAGTGGTCCATCAACTTGATCACTCAACCGGACACACTGTGTACCTCTACGCCTTCGTCCTCCAACTACTGCTTCAAATACCTTTTCCGCTGAAGCATCTTCATCCATTCTCATAACATGACCAAGCCAGCGAAACCGCTGGATGTTAATTCGCTCAATTATATCGGTGTCGTGATAAAGCTCGTACCACGATCTAGTCGTCGCCAACTCATAGAAGTCTAAAGATCTTACGAAGAACGTTCCTCTCGAACACTCCTATTGCTGCTTCATCATTCTGTGATAGCGTCCATGCTTCTGCACCACATAGAATCACAGGAAGGATTAGCGACCTATAAAATGTAAGTTTTGTTTGTCAACAGAGAGGTTTACATCCCAGTTGCTTACTGAGCCCATAGTAGCACCCATTACCAATGGTGAATCTTTGTCTGATCTCCAGGCTAATATCGTTGCTGTTTGTTAAGGCGGTGACAAGATAAATGAAATCCAACCATGTATAAGAATCTATAATTTAACACTTTCTGAATACATTTTGTACATCCTTATTTTACGATTTTTCTTATGTACACCTAAAAACATACATTGACTTTTCCTTTTCCTGGGTTACGATTACCTGAACAGTTTTTTGAGTATATTTGGCTATCAAGAGTTTACGTATTCCTTAAAGATTTCTTTAAATAATTTAAATTTAAATATAATACATTTATATATCTTTTTCTGCTTTGCAGCACTAGTAAGTGAAATGTTTCTCTTAAATTTAAATTAAAAGAAATATTTTTTTAGGAAACATGCGCACTGAGTATTTTGCTCTTTGTCTCCCCACACAATAAATCATATGAAAGTGTCCGCGATTCTGAAACACGTTGTCATGGTTGTGCATTTCTTAAGAATTACCGGAGTTTGTTCAACATGTTTCCTGACGCGGCTTGTGCTGCCGGCATAATTGATATTAAGAGCTAATTCATGGCAAAGACTTTCCAAATAGTTGAGAATGGCATTCAAACGTATAATAGAAGCACTATTGATATTACAAATGTTTGCACTATAATTTTGTTAAATGAACTCTTAGCGTAGATTTCGCAATACTTTTTAACACATTTTGTTCATAGAAAATACATATTAAATAATTACTACTTAAAAAATGATCAAAGTTGCTAATTTATATTATTTAAATCAGAGTTCAATTATTAAATGCTTCAATGTGTAAAGTTGGTTCACTTCATTTACTTTCAAATTCAATTTATTTTCTCTGCTTCGAAAATGCTAATAGTAAAATGAGTAAATGTTGATTCAAATTAGAACTGCACTTTTTACCAAAACGCTTTCGGATGCTCTTTATTTTCAGTTTTATTTACTTGTTTCCCATGTTTAACATAATAGAATTGGTGAAGAAGGCATGCTGATTCACATAACTTAAATATTAAATTCCTCAGATAATTAAAAATATTAGAATTCAGAAAATGAAAGAGAATTTCAAAGTGGAATAAAAGAAAATTTAATTAAAATTTAATAATTAATAAATTAAGAGCCATTCCTTGCATTGGAAAAACAAATATTTATATTGCATATTAAAATTTTTTAATTAGTCTGTGTAGATATTACGAACATTTATGAACCATTAGAACTCGAAGTTGATGTCTTTAAAATCCGAACTTAAAGTTGAATTTTTATATTAACTTTTAATTAGATGATATTTTCTAATATTATAAGTTTTGTTAAATAATGGTTATCTATGTGGGTAAACATGATCACTCAGTTTGATGGTTTATTAAAGGGTATCTTCAAACTTTCTCAAGTACAGTGAAAACATTAGCGTCTAACAATACACATCATAAAGATTCATTCTTATTTAAAAATTAGAATAGCTCATTATACTCTTAATTGCATTTCATAGAACACATAGGTTTCAGTAAATTGTAAACCTTTGTAAATTACTTAAGTTTCAAAATTTACCTAGATGCTAAAAAGCAGCATAAGTAGCAACAGTTACATTGTCAGTTATGGAGAAGTCAATAATGAACAAACTATTGATCCTAATATTCTCCTCTTCCGAAGCACTTTTGTTATGTTTGACATAAAAGTGCTGATGATGAAGATAAAACTTAAAAAAACATATAATAGAGAGAACAAAACTTTATTTTGTTAAAATTAATTTCATTAAATGAAATTTAATTTGAGTAAATTAAAATAATACAAATACTTTGGCACATATACAGTCAAAAATTACAATAAACATGAGAATTAGTCACTGCACTTACAATCACTGGTCGACTTAATTCAAATATATATATATATAAGAAAAATAAAAAAAAACCAAAGTACCAGATAACTGCCATAAAACAAAAAGAAGATGTTTATCAGGCTTATGTATCAGCCTTCAAAGAAGTTGTTGTCTACTCAAGCAGACATGCTGTAATCAAAACAACAATAAATATATATTTGGACTGACAGAACGCCATATCAATTAACTCGGTAGTGTTAAGCTCAAGATTAACTGGCAGCTCTAAACGAGAACAGTGTTTACGTGTACGTTTAAGATGGGTCTCGGATCAAAACGGTATTAAGGAAAATTGCTGAACTGTCTGAACTAACCAGACGAGGTATTTGTATAGACCTCTGGTTTATACTATAGCAGGTCACTAGCTGTTTAGGCAACACACTTTTAGGTTAAGGATTCACTCTCATAAATATTGTTAAACTTGTGAAAATGGGAAGGAGAAAGAAATGGTGGATAACGTATTTTGTAGTTACTCTGCTTTAGTCAGAAGCAGAACGAAATTTTAAAGCGATTATGACTTTCACTCTCTAACATAGCGGTCTACTGCGCTAAGACTTGAAACGTTATGTGTTTTATTAGGTCTTAGAAATAGTTTCGGAATAAACCAACAGTTCAGGTCACGGCAGTAGCGTGTATGTGAGTTGGTGAATTATCCTGTGAACCAAAAAAGCTAACCTGAGCTGATACTACTTTACTGAGAAACTATTATAAGAACGAAAAAATATTTACCTATAATATAATAAAAATATATATAATAATTTATAATATACCTATACAATATGTAAGTAACATACTTACTTGTGAGAATATGTGTATTTTTAATATTAAAATGGGGATTTTAAATGTATGACTTAAATAATTAAAAATAATTTTATATTCAAATTAATTATTTTTCTAAAAGTTATTATTTATATTCTATATATGTTTTATATATATTTTATATATTTTTATATATTACTGTTTGATATATGTTTTGACTCAAAGTATCGAAAAACACAATTCTATTAATTTATGCTTTTTATCAGTAATTCCTACCTGATTGAGTAAACCAAATTTTGAATATCACATAGTGTAATCTTAAGCAAATTTTGAGTTTTCTGAAACTTCAACTTTTTAATTTTAATTCATTATTACATTGTGATTAATTCAAAGATAATAGTGAATTAGTACTTTGTTGCATACTTTAATAAAAAATAGAATTTACTAAATATTAACTTGTAAATATTAGTGACTTTACTAATTAAATTTAAAACAGTCAATATTCTGACTATTTCAAATGTATATCATAATAGCAAATAAAATTGTTAAATCGAAGTTTTTTCTTTATAAATTCAGATTTTAATTTGCTTTCAATTTGATCATAAATATGCATCCTCATATATAATATCTGAAATTTTCATCCCGTGTTTTAGTACTTTCAACTGTAATTTAACTTTTAAGTGTAATTTTTAGAAGTATTTGAAAAGATCCTTTTGGTGAAAAGAAGAGAAATTTGGAGAATGATGTTTAAGATTAAAATGTTTATTTTTTTATAATAAATTTGCTGCAGACAGAAAATACGTATATCTTTATATAAACAAAATTCAAAATAACAAAAATTCATTAACTCTTTAAAACCACACTTTTTGTACTTTAATTGTTTATTGCTCATAGTTATAGAAGAAAACCCAGGTGCAGATTTGAGCTCAGGACTCTCAAGGCAATCTGCAATCGTTGAAAAATCAAAAAGGAGAAAAAAGAGTGTTATTTTTGTCGCACAGTGCAATTTCTTTTAAATACTTTGTTCTAGTGATAAAATCAATCAATTTTAGTTTAAATCAAAGTATTTACTACAGAAATAAGTTTCGATGGATGTATTAATATATTACGTGTTTGTTTTGTTAGATTTAAAAACTTAGAAAATAAACAAAAAACATATTTCATGTCATTTTTATTTTAGATCATAATTCATAATTTTAACACAATTCGTATGATGTAATATTGTACTCTTAACATATTATAGCATAAGTTAATTACAACTAAATCTACAATAAAATAATAAAACTAATATTATCTGTATACATAAATAGATTTTTTTCAAAATCTACATTCCAAAATTAAGAGAAATACACTTGGAAAATAATTACAAAAAATTAAAAACAAAATTAACTCTTGCATAAAATATACATTAAAAACAAATTTTTAATTAATTTCTTTCTTCCTGAGTTCTGCTGCCAATTACAAATCCTTTCCAATATTCATTTAATTTTCTTCCATTTGATTTGCTAAACAAAATCTGAAAACAGTTTTAGACTATCACATTTTTCAGATGAGTATTAATTAATTTTATTAACAAATATATTTTATGAAAGAGTTTGGATAATTAAATTAAAAAGCCTGCTAAACTAAGCCAAAAGGCAAAAAATCATTATTAATCATTTTGATGAAACTTGTCAAAATTACATACAATACTACTTACATGGCTATCGTGTCGTATGAGCGATTATTTTATGCAAAGTGTAATATGCTCAGTTATAATTACTTTTTTGTTTAAACATTAAAAAATAAACTAATAATTGTGCATTTTTATTAAGTTTACAAATTTTTTAAATACTAAACTAACTAAAAGAAATGCAAACTAAACTAGTTGTTTTTTTTATTACAAGCTTGACACACATAACAAGCGTAAAGAACCGCTTTTATTTTTATTTTTATTGTTTTTTGTCTGTTTGTTTGGTTGTTTGTTTAAGCGAATTTATAATTTGTTGCCTAGATAAAGTTGCTTTTAATTTGGTTGTACTTCACAAACGAAATATGTTTCGAAACTGCAAGGTGAGTCGTTCCATTTCAGGCCTTTACCATCACGATTCCACAACTCCAAACAGTTTTCTTCTTCGCCATTTTCATAGCGGAAATTGTTTGGCTCGCCAGCATTCCAATTAGTAAACGTAATTGGGCGGCCTGTTGCCATCCAAAAGAAGTTACCTTCGTCAGCTAAATCAGTGCCTGATATCCAAAAATGCTCATGACCCAAACCTGGCGTGTAATAAAAAACAGAAATAAATTTAATAATAAAATTTAACACATTTAAATCTTTAAATCGCTGCATAATTTGATATCATAAAATATGTTGGCCGCCTGAGTTGTACAACATTTTACTTAGGGTCTTCGACTTAATTGTGCAAACTTGCCGCTAACATTCACTTTTACTACATTGTCTGCATTTTTTTTATTGCCACATGCAATGTTGTTAAGGAATTGCAGGGCTGCACAACAGTCATAAAAAGTGAACGCCCGCTTTCGTTGGTTAAGTAATTTGAACGTTGCAAATATTTATCGAGGCATAAGGCACAGTGAGCGTTAATGTTAAGCGTCTAGGCTTATTATTTCTTTCATAATTTCCGGGTATTATGTGAGGCGAGTTCTGTATATATATTTTATGATGATTATTTTTTCAATAGGTGCGCATGAACAATATAAAATTTAAATAAATATATGTTTAAGTATTTTTTTTAAATAAACTAATTGTACTTTTTATATTTGTGACAAATATAAAACAAAAAATTTAAAATATATCAAATAAATTAAAATTTTATGCTCAATAACTAAAGTTTATTCTTTCGATTTCAACACAATAATTTGCATTATTTATTTACTTATATTTTTTTAAACGTTGACTATCTATAAAATTTTTCTATTTTGAACTGTATAACTAAGAAATAAATTTTCTAAGTCGGTTTTTATAGCCCGTCTTTAGCAATCATAAATACCCTAACTGTTTAATATATAAATAATTTATGAATATTTATTTTTTATACCAAAATCTTGTATGTGTTTTTCCAGTCTGTCATTTTCTTCTTGCGATGAGATGCTAGCCAAATGCATGCCATGATACCTGCAATACTGCGTTGCTTTGAACCAATTTGCCTGTAAAATCAAAAAAAGGAACATGTTAAATTAAAAGAAAAAAGTTAACATTTTTTGACTGTAAAATATGCAATCAAAAATATAATTTGAAGTTGGTAATAGCGTTAGCTTGTCAGCATGAAAAATATGATATATCAAACTAGCTTGAGGGATATTTTACACTTCAAGACATTTCAAAACAAATACCAAATTTTAGAAACAAACTATGAAAAACAAAATAATTTTATAATAAAGTGAACAACAATACCTTCATAAATCACAACTTTGTATACCAACATAATACAATTTAAAATTTGAAATAAAAACTTTAGCAATAACTAAATTCACTAAAACTTAATTTTACACTTTTTTATTTTATTGTAATAAATTATATTTTTAAAATAATATTCTTCTAAATGTCAACATTGCACTTTCCAGACACAAATTTATATATGAGTACATATATAGGTTATGATTTTGTGTTACATATGCAGATTTTAACTTGTGGCTTAAATTCTCCTGCAGCATTAGTATTTCATTATATTAGTACTAATTTGATATGCTATTACGATATTATATGTATCATAATATATGTTATGTGACGTCCGTATCCTCACATTTTCTTGGTTTACAAGTAAATCAAATTGTGTTTTATAGCAGGAAGTTCATTCCTTTCATTCAAGGTTTTCTGAATATGTAAAACACATTTCAGTTTAAACATCTGTGATAAACTATTCTGTACGTTAAAGTTTTGTAGGCAAATCCTTTTCAGTGAAACTACATTTGGTAGACGAATCGTAAGGATAACCGAAATCGGTATATAACCGATAATAAATATATTTAAAAACGATTGATTATCTTTTATCTTTAGTGATGTTCAATGATATAACTCAATAAACACTTTTTGTCTGCCGATCGTATTATATTCAGATATTAAAATTTTGGATCACAACGACAATTTAAGTATAATAATTTAATATATAGGAAATAATATCTTCACTAAAATAACATTCTACGTAAATGATCTGTTAAGTTCAATCTCCAGGTCTTGTGTTATCTACTTTGAAAACTAGCCATTAAATGTTTTAAACTACAGGATTATTTATTTTGTCGTTCCGAAAGTAAATGTAGCCACAAAAAAAAAAACAAGATTTTGATCAAATTTTTATTTTAGTATACTCTTTGGTGTGAAATACAACTTTGTTTTCCATGAGATATTTTACGTTATTGAATACATTTAAGGTAATTTTTGATTACTTATAGCCGATAATAGTTCGATTTAAACTGCAAAAATTTGCGACTTATCCACATACTTTATGGATTTCGACTTATGTGCTGACTTTTTTTATTGACATATTCACCATCCAAGTAATAAGTTTCATCTACAAATAATGCGATGCGAAAAATTTTAACAATTTTTCCAACACATTTAGCACATTAAGCGATTGCTATACGATCTATAATTTAAAATATCACAAGCTAACTATATGATGTCTCCGATGATAGTGTTGTTTAACATAAATCACTGAAACCATTCAAATATTTTTTTATCAATGCTATAAGCAATCAAAAATGTTTTCAATAGTCTATATTGTTTTTTACTTTATTACTTAATAATCTGCTATATATTGCATATTTGTGTGAGTTTTCCTTATTATTTATCATATATGATCCATCCGGAAGTACCATATATGTGTATGAAAGATTGTATATTTACTTACCATATTTATTAGAATGATCGATCGCGAAAACTATGCAACTGATTTTGATGGATATTTTATATTATTGGATAAGAAGGAAAGATGTTGGACTAAGTTAAAACCTAATATATAACAGTGGTATGTCAACAAAAAATTCCTTTTTGCTATCAAAATAAGTGTTTTCTAAAATTTTATTAATAATCAAACTTAGTAATTAAGTTTAATAATTAAGAATAAAGGGATTGTAAGTTTGAATTATAGATTTTTTTTATTTCAAATTGTCATTATTGATATTTTGTTTTCTAAGAAATTACGGTTAATATTATGTTTGGTTAATATATACTGCATTCAAAAAAAAAAAAAAATTGTTTTTGGAACAATTAAATTAAATGTCAATTTTTCAATTCATGTGAAATGAATTACGCCAAAAAATTCTTTTCGTAGTAGAGCAATATATTAAAAGGAATAGGTTTAGGTTATCTATAATGAATTTTAAATGTGTTAAAATTGAGAGAATTAATAGGATTTTAATTTAGATAAAATATATAAAAGTATTAGTAAGGAACTTAATATCAGCAAAGCTAAACATCTCTCCAGAAAGATCTGCAATGTTAATAGGATGTTTATTTTGATTTTTTGCATTCAAGTTATGGTCTGTGGCATTATTAATATACCATAATATATTATTATACCATAATATAATATATTTCATGCTACTTATTGCCGTAAGTTTTTGCTTTTTAATAAATATCAAAATATAATAGAATACAAATATTTGAATAAAAAGTTCTGATGTTTTTTTAATAAGCAGCATCATCAGCAAAAGGAATAACTAAAACTAAGTTCCAAGTTCTTAGAGCTGTAGTTATTCACACATGAAACAGTTATTGGAATTAATTCTGTATTGTTATTACTCTTATCGAGTAATATATATCTTTTATTTAGTGCTAAACAAATTTGAAATCTTTCTTCATGTAAAATTAAATACACTTAATGAATTAATGATTTTTAATTTTTAAATAAATAAATTCTTACTTAATGTTATCTTAACATGCATTGATTAAATGCTCTCATTATGAAACTAAATATTTTTCTAAAAAAAAAATAACCTTCAATAAGATTGAGATACTCGTATTATTACTTAATTTCATACTATATATTTTCATAAATTCTTTTTCATTAATATTAATTGATAAGACTTATTACTTATATCAAGACTCTTGCGTCATTATGGAATTTTCCGGTCTGACGATCTTGTCGTGTCTGCGAACAGCAAAAATTTGCATTAACAAATCTATGTTCTGTTACTGTGTCAATGCAATAAAATCTTGTTTATATATGGTCGTTTAAAAAAACTGTTTACACCTGCTGTAATGAAAATCGTAGTTAGTCTCTGCAACTGACATACTTTTTTACCATCGTAACTTTTAGTTCGAAATAGCAGTGACAATAAAAAGTAATATTAAATGAGCTGTCAGAGATTATTCCATTCATCTTTAGTCATAAATCCCGAAAACTAGAATTATTTGTTTATATAAAAATACAATTGAAAAAAATTAAAAACATTAATCATTAAACAAAAAGAGGAGTTAACTTTTATTATTGGTAATATATTTTTAAATTATTTTAATGTAGTGCTTATTTTCGTGTCGTTGGAATGAATATAAGTTGCATTTAATGGCATTAAATATTTAGATCTATTAATTTTATTTTGAATAAAAAAAATATTTGCGTTTAATAATAAATAATTTACACTGACGTTAATATATCCGTTGTTAGTTTTTTGCAATTGTAATGAAAATTTTTTTTTGTTAAATTAATACTTAAATTTGGATTTTTTTATTTATACTTAAATTATTAAAAATAGTTGTATAAAACTTCTATCCCATAAAAAATATTTTTAAATAATATACAAATATTTTTATATATATGTCAAGTTACATGTTAATAATAACTTTTATTTGACCACTTTATGCTTTTGGAATTTTAATCAATAATATTTAAACTAAATAGATATTTCCTGAATCTCTATATTCTATTAATACATATTATATAAAAATTTAAATATCTTAAATAGATTGAGAAAATAATAAAATATATACTAAACAACATTTTCGTCATTAAAAGTTCATAAATAGAAACCTTTTTTGTTATGCAGTTTAAGTTTGTAGAATATTTTTATTATGAAATAAATTCTTGACAATGAATTTTTTGTACTACGATTTTTGTATTAAAAACAAACTATAATGCATTGAAAAAAAATCCTTGACATGCTTTCAACAAAATTTTACATTAAAGCTTTTAACGTCTTTGTATTAAAAACTTTTATAAAATTGCGATAGTTTAAGCATGCATTTAAAAGAAAGTATCTTGCATATAGTGGTTTAATAGAAGCACAAATTTAGTAAAGCAATTTACTTCACTTGCTTAGAAAGTCACTTTTATAAGTAAACTTATGTGAACTTTATAACTAGAAATCCTTTGATTTACATCTAAAACTTTGACTAAAAGTGAAATATATATTATCTTAAAAATATAAAGCATATGCTTTATATCGCAAATACTTTTCCGATTTTAACGTAACCCTAGCAATACCCTAATAATTCAACCTTGAATATAAAATCAGTTTATATTATTGTATTAAAATTTTTTTTAATAATTATTTTCATTGGACGAGGACAATTGTTTATAAAAAAGGAGAGAAAACAAGCAAAACGTTGCGATTGAATTTTTGTATTTTTAAAATAAAGCACCATTGCAAATTAAATTCGAAGTAGATAATGTTTACGGGGACTCATCATAAACGTTCATCCAGTACTTTTTAAATTATGAGTCCACCCAGTAGATGAGTTTTTTCACTAAGTGCTAGGACCAATTAATTGACGCTTGGCTCCTTGTTTTGCGATAGAGTCAACCCTTTCGATTCTCTCATGTAGTTCATGTCTCAGGAGCCATTTTAAAATATATATAGAATAAGTAAAATTTTTTGCAAATCTATATCCAAAAGGTCTGCGTCAAATTACTGCTTTTCTACGGTTGGACAACACGATTTGTTAACGTATATATCCGCTTAATTACGGTTGCAAACCATTTTTTTTGTATAATTCTTAATTTTAAGCAACTATTATTTTTAAAGTCAAATGATCTAGTAAATGACAAAGTTAACAAAAATATATCATCAAATTGTTGCTACCAAAAAATTGTAACCATGCCCAAATATCAATCGGAAAATGAAACTATATGAACTATATATATGAAACTGTATGAACTATATATAAAACTGTAGTGGCCCTCATATTAAATAGTAGAAAATCAATCATA